AATCAGATGTTATCCGGGGTGCGGTTTTCAGCTTCGTGAATGTGATCCTTTGACTGGAGGAGTACAAGAAGTGGATAGTTATGATGACCAAAATGGCAGTTTTGTTCCAGTAGAACTGAGCAAACGCTGGGATTAGTCTCTGCTCTCTGTTCTCTGAGCCGACCCAGAGCACACCCAACGCCACCTCATGCGACACCAGCACGGATACCGAAACGCAGGACAGAGATGTCAGGGACACTGAAAGCTGAGCTCAGGTTTTCCCACGTCCAAGTGGAGCTGGTGTTCAACCTGAGCTGCTAAAGCTGCATGCCAGGTTTGCCAGTTCAAGTCTCTTCAGCTCACCCAAGCTCTACATCGCGCTTGCTTTCACACAGATGAGCCCATCGATGCTGTTAATGCTTTCAGGTCCTTTTTCTCCCCGCAGTGTAACTTGTTTACTTGTTCCCTTGTCTCCTCTGTCTTCTATATCTCTGCTTTCCATGACCTCAGACAAAAAGACTGCTTTCGTGCTCCTTCATTCACCTGGAACTCTGGGCACTTTTTCTAACGTGATCCAGATACAGAATTTTTAGTGTTTCCTTAATTGTGGAGCACTGTGTAATATTTAGAGTTTATAGTACTAGTTCTGTGAACTTAACGTCTTTAACATGTTGAACTTACTCATTAGTACACTTCATGATTTTCCTTCTACTGACACACAAATATTGATCTTTTTGTGAAATATTATCCCTGCTGTACATTGTTTTGTGGTGTTTATCTCATCAGACACATTATCTTGCCGTTGGTGCGTTTGCTGCTTTCACACGTTCCTGCTTCTTTAAGTGACTCTGTGCCTCACTTTCGTGCCCTTAGTAAACTTGTAAAAAAGTGTTTATAAATCAGGTATTTATGGTAGGAGATATATGAAAACAGGAGGAAAGAATTATAGTTTTAGGGAGAACATACCCTGATAATGACCTCTCAAATATTTGTAAAGATAGCCCTGGGCATCTGAGCCCACAAAATAGTTTATAATACAACAGCTTGATTACATAATGATACTTTAGTTTTAAAACATATGATCTTTCTGTTTATGGGAAGGCATAATAGGCTCCTTTGAAATACAATATTTTTGCCCCGAACATAACTAATTTTAAATGAAAGGACTAACTGAAGAATGTCTTTCTTCAAGTTTGTACTTCACTTTGTTGTTGAACCCTGCACGATGATTTCTTTCATAAAACTCCTACCAGGCCTCAGGGCCACACCTATTTTAGGGAATATTCATTGTGAAAGTTTCATCGGTTCCTGTGCAGGAAGGTACCTAGTATCATTTATAACAGTATGTTTCAGATTCCAAATCTTAAAAAAAAAAAGAGAGAGAGAGAGAGAGAGAGATCTGTAAATACGCATACACACACATGCAGAATTTCCTTTTATATTCAGTTTTAAGATATTGAGAATTACAGATGAAGCTCAGGCAGAATGCAGTATGATTTAGGGGAGGGATTTGTTCTGTGCAATAGAAAAGAATCGATGAGAACATTTCATGCGAGGCAGTTCACAAAACATCAGAACTTCCTCAAACAGTCTAGACTCAAATCTAGTGTTTTAAAAGTTATATTTGGATAAATATATCACCTAAACTATTATTTTTCCTTGTTTTCAGTGTTCCTCTGCACTACCAAGTCCCAGCTCAAATTACTACTGGAACTGACATTAAATTACATGCATGGTTATTTTTACATTATTAACAGTTTGGCTAGAAGCAGGAGTGCCAGAAATGCTCTTAAATATGTGTTCTTGTGAGATCTTCAGTGCAGTTACACAGAGTGCCTATAATGTTGGTTATTGTTCATGAATCTCAATCAAGCCTGAATTCTGTTGCCTTTTGGCTTTCCCATCAGGAGTACCTGTATGATTTTTTAACAAAAGTAGTGCTAAATTTTGCCTGTATTTATTCAGCTAGACTGATGTACCCTTGAACAAGTCCTTTTCCAAGATTTCTTACACCTTATAAAATCTATGCTGGAAATAATGCAAATGATGGTGAAATAATTACAGAAATAATAGGGAAATAATTATTACCATTTTTCCATCATTTCTAATCCCATCCTATTCTCAGGTTCCTCAAAAAACCAAAACAAAACAAAACAAAAACCACACACTCAAAGTTGGGGATTGGGCTATAAAGCAAACAGAAGACTTGTTCCCCTCTAGGGCAAAGCTCAATGATTCATCTCAGTGATAAATACCACTCTAAAACACAGGGAGGTCAGTGTATAGTGAACAAACAGTCAGATTTTATTACAATGAATATTTTTTTTTTCTGAAATGTTCTTTACCGCTATACTTTAACACCAGCACCAGACAGGGAACTCTGAAAGACTTTTGTTTCATCTTGTTCCCTAAGTATTTATAGCCTGCTGCGAAGAAGCACTGACAGCAGCGCACTGATGTTTTTATTCTTGATAGAGGTGCCCTTAAAAGTGAATTTGCTTTGAAAATTGTTCACAGAATCAGGACATCAGAACCTCAAAGACATCTCTCTCTCTTTCTCTCTCTCCCTCTTTTTCACCTAATTGGCTATCCAAAAGAAGTTGTTCACAATCCGGCTAAGATAATGCGGTCATGAAAAGGATGTCCAAATCCACCAATTTACATTGGTTTGGTTTGGCTTAATTTTCAAAGTTTTTGGAGCAGAAAGTTGATGGCACGTGAACATTATAATTGACTTGAAATTCTTGAATTTTTTTCTCTCTGCCGTATTGTACAGTGTCCAAATGAAATGCTCATCAGACCTCATTTCAGGACCAAAGTAAATTTATAACAATAATAATTCACTTATATACTCCAGATCATTTTGCAAGATGTAATATCCTCCAATTTATAACATAGTTTGTCATTTTCACTTGATCTGGATAATTTATGGAGTTTGATACCGAGGGGGTTGAGCTGTTCCAAATTGATGCTATTAATGTGAGACATTGCTATTTCATGAAAAGTGACATGTATTGCTTTGACTTCCATATATTCATAAAAGTTGAAACTGAGCTGAGTTAGATCCAAATAAAAGTTAACATTCTCTTTTGGGGGTTTTGTTGTTGTTATTTGATTTTTTTCCTCTTTACTCTCTGGTTTAGACTCTTCAATTTATGTGATGCAGTTCTTAATCCTCTACCACAAAAGACCCACATTCCTAAACTGGGAATTACTCTTGCTCTGTCACTCTCCCTTTGCTAAGACAGAGTGAGACTCTTCAGTTTTAGGATAGAATTGCATTACTTAAACAGTTTAGTAATTTCCCTTTGCTCATATGTTATATATCCAGTGGATGGATAACTTCCAAGTGTTCTTGATTACCAAATCCTTTTTGATTTCTCTTAAATAAACTTTTTCTTTATCCCTCTGTAACCAAAGGGGATCTTCCTGAAATGAATCATCACATTCAGTATAAGATTGCAGGACACCCACAGGTGCAGGTTAGAAAATTGTCTAATAAAAAGGCATATATAGCCAATGTGTAATACGCAATGATTATTCCTCTTTAAAATAGATTGTTTAATGTAAACCAAATCAGGATGTTTCTAGCAGGATAGACATAAAATAAGAATTGTGTTTTCTGGTAAGAGAAAATATAACTGTATTTGTTTTCAGTTTGCATCAAAAGGAAAATTAAATCTTTTAAAATCCTTCATATTCAGTGAGGGACACCTCCAAACAGCTGAGTCCGCTGGCTAGGGTACTCGTCTGCCCAGGTGTGGTGAAATGAGGACTTGAACCTGATTTTATTCCTTCCCAGTTAAGTGTTTATACAGCAGGGCTTCTGAGATGCTTTCTGAATTGTTTTTACTCTTTCCTGTACTTTCAGTTTTTCCTTTTCCCCTACCCTGAATGAGAAAAAAAAAAATCTCAATAGCTACATTGTCAAAACTGAAATATTTCCCGACAATTTTTAGTTTTGACAAATTAGCATTTTCCAAGAAAAAGACTTTCTCTGACATTGTTTGCCAAAAGCTAATTAAAACTTGTGTTCCAAGTGATGAGTAGCCTTAAAAAAACCCTGAGATTGGTGTAGGTTCTCTTAGCTTCTTGTTTATTTCGAAGTTTTAAATGTGAAAGGAGAATGTAAGTTTTGTGTTTTCAACTTCTAAGCATGCAGACTTGGTCGTTGCACAATAGCTAATTCTCCCAGGAAAGGAGAGCAGTTCCCATGTGCTCTGAAATGCTACAGCTATGCAACTTGGGCTTGAAGTGCTATTTTAAACAGCCATATCAGCGGAGCTTGCTGTGGGAGATAATATGTCACAAAAGGGAGTATGACATCTAGTTTCACCTAGAAGATAAACCTTGAGTAGATATGCAGGGAGAAACAAGACTGTCAGGTTGTCCTTGAAAAGAATGGCCTATATTAATGAAGAAATTACTCCAGGGCATACGCTATTTGGGATATATAATTTCATCTTCAAACTCGTCTGATCTGCTGTGAATATAGCAGAGAAGCTGCAGTTGTAGGGAGCCTCACACACGTCATGATTTCATCGTGGGCATCTAACTGCGTTATTTTCAGAAAGGTCACAGCCTCAGAAATTCACATCTGACAAACGCAGGTCTCTGACCGAGAAGTTTCGCTAGCACTGTTAATGCAGACACTGCACATTGCAGCAGGGCTAACGTACTGCTGTGTGTACCGCAAACGGCCCTTCTGCATAAACTCATGATCTAACACACTGTCCCTGTCCCATCACACTGAAATACCTTCGCAGAACTGTGTTCGGCAGCCAGAATCACAAGACAGTAATAATTAGATGTTTTGTATTCACTTAGGTTTAATTTACCACTTTTATTTTTCATTGTTTTAAACTGGCAGGAGGCACTTCAGTTTTTGTCAGGTGGATTATTTTTCAGTCGCTCACTATACTGTTCTTCTTCATTCTTGTTAGGGCATTTATGGCTTCTTGACAGACATACAAAGAAAAATACTTATATGATCTAAAATGAAATATGTGTTTCTCTTTCAGGTCTAGATGTTGATGGAATATACAGAGTTAGCGGCAATCTGGCAACAATACAGAAGTTACGATTTGTTGTCAATCAGGGTAAGTGATTCCTCCACCCTGGTAATGTTTTGTTTAGTACTTAACTGTCTCAGATGACAGTATTTCAGAATCTGCTCTGCATTAGTGGCAAAGAATGATGAGCCATGTTTTGGAAAAGAGAGGAAAGAGAAGGTAGAAATATGTTGCACAGAGGGAAATGTTAGGTTGGGGAGAGGAAAAACAGCACAGGAAGCAAAGGAAAATGATAGTTAAACAGGAGATGAGAAATAAAAAATAGGAGGAAATGGATAAATGAGAGAAGTGGCAAAAATAAAGCATAAGTAGAAATCAAAAGAATCCAAGTGAGAAAAAAGAATAAAAGGAAAAAATAAAGATTGTTTTTATGTTGAAAGTTAAAACCAAAAGTGGAACAGGGATCCAAAGCAGGCTAGAGAAAGAGGAAAATGGTGCTGAAAAGAACTGAAAATGAAATACTAAAACTGAGATACTAACCTCTGTCAAAGTCAGTGGAAGATTTACCCCGGATTTGAATAGGGCAAAGATTCGATTCCAAGAAATGAGAAGAGAAATGATGAACATTGGGGGAACATGAGAACCAGAATCAGAACTAAACACTATGTTACAGTTTTATTTAAAGAACATATTAATTTTCCACAAATATGACCTAGACCTATCTAACATTGGTCACTAGATGTTCTGTTACAGGTGTGAAAGCCAATATTGGTGGCCAGTTAGGAAAATGCATCACAAACATGCTGACCTCTCTGAACAATGTACCGTTCTTGGCAAAGACTAAACAGGAAGTATCCACATGTAATAGCTTAGTAAATATCACTGATAACAGTGAAACTCATAATCCTGCTTTGTGAAAAAATCTAAATGAAGCTTCTCAGAAATTAAGTAAAATCCCAAATCTTAAATTGCATTAAATGCTTCATACACTTTTAAATTAATCAAGTATAAAAGCTAAGGAGCTACAGATTTTTATCTTACTTTTTCTTAACTCTTTCTAAGTTACCTGGGGACTATTATCAGAATTGCTAAACATTGTATGTATATATTGTGTATGTTTTTTTGGAGATATCCTAAAGATCAACTTCTTTAATTAGTTTTGTGCTATAAATAAACTAAGACCTATACATAAACTGCGACCTGTGACTCAAAAACTCTCAGGATATCTGTGGTGGCACATAATAATTCTCCTACCTTCAGGCCTCCATTTACATCTTTAATGAAGGTTTCAGGGCAGCAGTATATACTTGCCACCTCCGTAGCTGCCCCAGATCAGTCCAATCTTCAGCTGAAACTGGATGGTGAACTCTGATTGACGAGAAATCAATATTTGTATCAGTAATTTCAGTGAGACTGACATCAGCCTCATGGCCTTAACTCCGTACTTGTGTTCCTTCAGATTTATAGTTGTTGGGTATTTGTGTGTTGATAATATAGTCTGACTTGGCATCCAGATTACAGTGTGCTATATTTTATTTGAAGACAAAGAGGCAAAACTAGGATTTCCTATCCTTCTTCACTCCCTAGGATCTTTGCTCAGAAAAAAATGTGCCATAAAAATAATGGTCTTGTCTATCATGCCTCATGGCATCCAAAGGTTAACGTACTTGAGGTTAACATTACTACTCCGGTTTTCACCTAAAACAGATGGCCTGATACAGTAAAAGCTGGACAGAAGTCTAAGCTGTTCTTTCGCAGCACAGAAGTACCAGGCACCTTTTTTCTGGTTTATTCCACTGTGAAAAATTAATATATAAAGGTGAAATTAATGGTGCCTTAAAGCCACTCTGACATTATCTACTTAGGGCACATTCAAGAAATCTGCCTATCGAATTGCCAAAGGCAATTCAAAGAAAAATAGTGCCTCTGGAGAACTATTTTATCATTTTATGTGTTATGATAATTATTGTTTCTTGTGTTAGTCTTTGTTGATACAACTAGGGCAGTCATGCGCTTTATATCAGAAAGGAATAGATTTTCAATGGGAAGTGAATTTAGGCATCCAAAAGTCTTCCATATCTTTTAAAATTTCAGCTATAAAAATATCTGTCCCAGTCTGTAGTTAGCCTTTGCTCAGGAATACGCATGCAGAAGTGCCAAAGGTCCTCTCCTATAAACTCTTAGCGCCACAGTTGCAACCCTCACGGGTGACAATAATACCATGTGTGAGGAAATTAGTATTCCATCCCCAAAAGACTAATCCAGTAATTTTTAAATCAGAACATTCAAGAAGCCAAGCACCCACAAAGAATGGTTTTAAAATATCAGGCCACTATTTCACTTGTTCAAATAACATCCTTTCTTTGTGTGAGGTAGGAAGTTGCAGGCTGGGAACGCTCAATCGATAGAAGTCACAGTGTGGCTATATGGATATGTGTGTGTGGGAGTATGTCAGCATCCTGCTTAATACTACCCTGACTTCCAGGCTGCTGACGGGATGCTTTATACCCTGTTCACAGTCCCTTCTAGACTAGCTAGATCCACAGCTTACCTGGGAGACTCATCATGCAACAGTGGAGAAGTTAGAGTTGCAAAAAATTGGTTAGGCAACAGAAAGTGACCAGAGTGAGGAGAGGATCTCATCAGCTTTCTTCCAAGGGATTCACTCTGGCTCTGGAGCTGGGTTTGCTCAGCTTCCTGCTCCCATGTACTTAAAAAGCAACCGGGGGGAGATGGTGGGAATCATCGGATTTATTTAACTTGTGCTTGGAAGCCTCCACTGGATATCCCCAGAGGCCCCGAGGTTCCCCGTCAGTCTGACTCTGAGGAGGACCAGGAGGAGGGAGGGAATGTGTTGTGTTTATTATTTTATAAATTCACAAAAGTTAGTAGGAGAAACGGTATCTGCTCATAACCTGTTTAATTGCCAGTCTTCTGAAGCTCTCCGATAGAAAGATAGAATAATGCAGTTGCTGCATATCACTCTTTTACTTGGTCATTATCCTGCCTTTCTTGGCTCAGTCTCTATACTTTCATTTTTCTGTAGTTTACTGAAAAAGTAGTACTTTTATATATGATTTTTTGATTATCATTCTAGCATGGATTTGGAATTTTTATTTTAGTGAAATTTAATTATGAAAGCAAAAAAGTTCCAAAAAAGCATATTTACTTTGTACAGCTTGACTGTGCGACTGGTTCTTATACAGGTGAAATACTTAAGGGGTTGTTTCTTTCAGCTACTGTATTATACCTACATTTATGGGTTATAAATAATATTTATCATGTTGAAAATGAAACAGCGTAGAAGAGAGTCCAGTCTGGCTGCTGTATCAAAATATTTTTATTAGAATAATTTCAGAGTAAAGCTTCTTTTGACCCCTTTTTTGTACTGTTAATGTCATCTGCAGCATCAAAAATAGAATAAAAGAAAAGTAAAGGAAAATGAAAGCAAATTAACAAATGACAGCTTTGTCATTCATGAAAAAGTAAGAAGAAACAGTAAAAAAATCTAAAGACAGCTTTCAAGTTTTAGATGGGTAGGAGGGTTTGCAATAAAAATCGTTCCTCATATCTGTTCCATTTTTTAAATTCTCAGAATCTACTTTGTGTTTCATTATAATTTCTCAAGGTAGGCAGCTCCTGAAGAGGGCTTTGACCCTGCCACAAGAGCAACAGCAGTACAAACTACCTTATTTACTTTATCCCTTTCACAGAGTTTTCTTTTTCTATAAATGTCTATTGATATCACACCTTTTTTGCTTCTCTGCAACAGGATTATCTTTTATCTCTGATTTATTTTCCCATTAAGAGCTGAAAAGATCACTTGATCATAAGAGGGCCAGGCTATAACATCTCTCAGCACTTTTGAAGCTCTAAGTCATCATTTTTCAAACTACTGAATCAAGGCAGCAGAAGCCATTTGGACCACTAGTGACATCAAGACATTCATATTGCTCTTAGTCTAGAAGGGCTAAAAGAATAGTGTTTTTAGAAATTAAATTAGCAGTAGTTTAGTATTTCTAACTATGGATCTGTGGCAAAGGCTTCTATTCGGCCAGAGACATTAGTCAGAGAGGTCCACTCCTCTTACCCTTTTCATATTATTGGTTAAGTCTAACAGCTGCAATTTAAAAATATATTTAAAACCTGGATTTTTTTAGTGTTATTTAGTGATTTTTTAGAAATTTTAGGAAAAATCTAGAGGACTTTTGCTGATTGTAAGCAGTCTAGTGGGCTGAAACCATCACACATATTTTTAAAGAGTATTCCTTTAAATCACACCTGTACGAAACAGGGCAAGATTCTGCAAATGGGTCCATTAAGCCATGTAAAATGTGGTTGTAATTTGAGGATATAAGAGTGATATCTGAAGCATTGACTCTTTTGGTCCCAAGGCTGAGAGCTGAGCTGTGAGCTCTTGGCCCATGGGCAGGGTGTGGTGGAGGCCCAGGTGAGGCCAGTTGGGCTGTTAAGGCCATTAGTGCCCTCCAGGCCCTGGAAGCAGCTCTTGCAGCTCAGGAGGGTGCTGTGGTGTGGAGCAAAGCATGGTAAGTGGGGGCAGCTGGGAGATGTGCTTCAGATCTGAGCAAAAATGCTTGTGGAGATGCGAAAGTGCCTGAGAAAAAGGAAAATAACTTGAGGGTTTTTCAACCATCAGGATGTTGGTATGGATAAGAGCAGGTGTGGGCTCATGGTGGTCCTGCTTAGAGATACAGCAGTGAGGAGGTAGAAGCTTACTTCTTTATGCCTCCTATGCTAATCTACTGAGTAGCTGGAAAGGCATTCAATTTCTAGGACTGTCAAACAAGCAATTTTCATGAGTACTAAATTAACTGAAAAAATAGAGCTATAAAGGCTTCATAATACATTGCTGAAGCACTAGAATCCTATCCTAATGCATATATGTTTGGGGAAACTAACCATAGAAATACAAATTTCAATACTTATTGGTTCATTCAGCAAGTGTTGGTTCATACATAATACAAAAGAGTTCCTAATTGTCTTTATATCCAATGCTTTGTTTGCAAAATGCTTGGTATTTGCGGTAGAGATGACCTTTGGATCCTGTTATTTCATTTGGAATACCT